GCAAGTTCTTTATAAACTTTCATTAATACCTCAATTAAAAAACTATATTCAAGATTTCAGCATAGAATTTGCATTAAAAATTATTGAGATACTTTGTTGTTACGTGTAATCATGTTATTTATGACTCATAGCGACTACATGTACAACTCTATACCCTGCTCTCTCCTTCGCCAATCTTACTGTCTCCAACACACTTACCCCAAAACCCCAGTCACTGAATCTAATCCATCTCATAGAGGGTCTTCCTCTCTTCCACTGTTAAATACTAAGACTTCAAAATAAAATCTATTATTTTATACTTACTGTTTTGACTATGCAAAGGCATTTGACTGTGTGTATCACAACAAATTTTTGCTAACTTTGAGGAAAATGGGAATCTCAGAGCACTTGATAATAGTGCTTATGCAAAACCTATATTTGGACCAGAAAGCTGTCTTCAGAACAGAGCAAGGAAACACTGCATGATTCAGAATCAGGAAAGGAGTGCATCAGAGATGAATCCTGTCTTCATACCTTTTCAGTCTATATGCAGAACAGATCATTTGGGAAGTTGGGCTTTATGAGGAATGTGGCATCAGGATTGGACAAAGAATCAACAACCTAAGTTATGCAGATGATGCAGCCTTGCTTGCTGAAACTGAGGAGGATCTGAAGTCCTTGCTGCAGAAGGTCAAGGACTGTAGCCTTCAACATACATTGAAGCTCAACATCAAGGAAACAAAGATTCTCACCACTGGGCCAATTGGCAGCACAGTGACAGATGGAGAAGAGATTGAGGCTGTTAACAGTTGAAGCTAGCTTGACTCCACAATCGACATTCTTTTTTTTTTTTCCCCAAATTGAATATTTTATTAACATGGTAGTTGTCTTTGTAAACAATCAACATTCTTAACACTAGCAGTCAGAACATCAAAAGATGAATTGCAATGGGAAAAGTCTGCTGTCAGAGATCTCTCTTGAGTGCTGAAAAGTCTAGAAATTAAGGTGTGCCTAATCCAAGCCATTGTCTTTGCAGTTACTTGCTATGCATCAGACAGCTGGTCTGACAAAGGGTGACAGAGGAAGAATTGATGCTTTCAAGTTGTGCTGGAGAAGAGTCTTGAGCATATCATGGACAGCAAAAAAAACCCCAAACAAACAAAACCCAACCAAATAGATCTGTCTTGAAGAGGTGAAACCAAGTTTCTCCTTGGAGGCTAAGATTTTGAAGCACCCTCTAATGTGTTGGGCATGTGGCCAGAAAGGATTGATCCTTGAAGGACATCATGCTTAGAAGGGTGGAGGGACAGTGCAAAAGAGGAAGACCCCAGATGAGATGGATTGATACAGTAAGGGGGGGCAATGGGGCTAGGTGTGTCAGTGAGACTGGCTTAGGATAGGGCAGGCTTCAGAACTATTATCATAGGTTGCAGGCGACTTGATGATATCAATAACTGTATCTATCAAAGCTTGCGTATGTATCAATTAGAACTAGACATATGTCATGTTTTCAGTAGCCAAATGTAAGTAGTGGCTGTAGGATTAGATAATATAGGTTCAGATATTTTTGTCAAAAATCCCTGCATATCTGATCTTTTCACTAGTATCTTTTTTTTTCTAAATTACTTTTAAAAAATATTGTAGGTTATAATATGTAAAAGGAGAAGTAATTTTAAATAGACCTTTCCCTTGGTAAAATTTAGAAAAGCACGTTACCATCTTTTTTCCAGATATTTAAAATATGCGATAACTGAGGGAAACCAATGGAGAGTTCGAGTATCCTCTGTGTGCTTAGTGTTAATCCTAATGGTTAGACATTGTCGTTAAACGGTCGGAGTATCTGGGGGCTTCGTTACTTGATGTCTTGCATACATGTATGTATGTGTATGAAAGAGAAATTATAGTAGAACAATGAGAAATATTATTATGCCTCTGTAAAATTTGTGATTATTCTTCCCTTGTGATTTATACAGACTTGGACTTTTATGTCCTAGTAGAAAGTTAGCATTAGATGCTCTCATAAAAGGCAGTTGTTGATTGGGTGGTTACTATTCATTTTCCCATAAGGTAATGCAGTAAGTTAACCTTTCCCAATGAACTCTTGTTAATTAGAACGGTAACCTTACTGGAGTTCTTTCTTGCTAGAGGTAGGAATTACTGTAACTAACTAGTTTTATTTTTTTTCTACCTCAGGCCGTTCATACTCTGTGTGTTCTCCAAGAATGCTTAATCAGTGTCTGGAGTCCTTGGTGCAGAAGGTGCAAAGTGGGGTTGTAATAAACTTTGAAAAAGCAGGACCAGACCCCTCTCCTGTAGAAGGTATTATTGTAATTATAGATGTTTATGATGGGTTTTTCCTTTGTTCAGGTAGAACTGGGGATTCTGATTTGGCCTTTAAAATCGAGTGACAAAACTTTTGTTAGTAATAAGGAAAAATTTAAATAGAAAAGCCATTAACATCATCTTTTTCTATTAATAATTGTACATAATTTTAATAAGCATCAAAGTTTTGTAGATAAGCATCTTCATATTTCCTTTTTAATATTATTCTTTGTCCAGTATGTGGTTTTTTTCTTACATCCTTTAATTCACAGAGTGCTTAACCGTGGTGTTTATTCCTTAACTACATTGTCCCAGGATCAAATTGATAACAACCAGCTGGCTATCTTCGTCCCAAAATCAGACTGACCTTTGCAATTAGGCTTGACTGTTAACTTGAGCCAGGCACTATCATAATTTATTTATTCCCACCTTCTGTGCAGAGGAACTATTTATATTAGTCAAAGATCTAAGTTACAAGAATTCTGGGGTGTTTGAAACAGTTAAGTGCTTGAATACTAGTTGAAAAGTTGGTGGTTTGAAAACCAGAGGTGCGTGGGGAGTGAGGCTGGCACTTTGGAAAGGTCACAGCCTTGAAAGCCCTGAGTTGTGGGTCGGCTGTGCACGTGGACCTGTGGCCAGGAGTTGGGATCCCCTCTCCGGCTGCTCAGCAGCAGCATAAGGAGTTACACTAGAACCAATGGGCATTTACAGCAAGTGTCTCTGCCCTGAGCATATTTAAAGAATTAGACAGCTCATGATAGTTCATGACCAAGGTAATAGAGAAGAAAGAATTGAGTTATATACAGAAGTTAGGAAGACTGTAGAAGTTAGGTGTGTTTGGTTTTTTTTTCTCTTTTAAACAAACCCAGCCAACAGATTTCTTAAACATGGAACATAATGATTTCTTTTTGTTTTAGTGCTTAGTTTACAGTTTATGTAAAACGAGCACTGTAATTGTTTATTGAGTGATAGAAGAGAATGACTATTTTGCTAGAATTATTTTAGATTAAAAGTTACTGTCTTGATTCTTAGTTAGCATATGATATTTTGCTTTTATTACATATTAGTTAAAATTATATTAGTTTAGCAGCAACACACTTGCCATTTCCATGTGTCTGGCACTGTTTTAGAGATATGGTAAGTTGAGTGCTTATATTTCTCATTGATTAAACATTTTGAACATAATTCATTTACCATAGAGAATATTTTATTTGTTCTAATGGATGAACAGTGTTTGGTGGAGCTCCCAGATTGATTCAGGTTTGCAAGCAGGAGTGGTGTCCACTTCATAAACCACATGCCTCTGGAAACTCTATGAACATAAAGAAACAACAACAGTTAAAGAACAGGATTCAGGTCTTTTGTTCATTGGGTCACTATGAGTTGTGCTCGACTTGATGGCACTTAGCAAACAACAACAATGGATAAACAAAGGATGCTTTGAGAGGTACTTTTTTCAGCTAGTGAGCAGATAGCTAGAATTTGCAAGCTCTATTGTCTAGTGAGGTTTTTTTGCTAATTATAATGTTAAACAGTAATGGTAGTAATTTACTATTTTTTTTTTAATGGGAAAATCCAGCAATGAACACATGTGAAGGCATGTTTACTAACCTGAGTAACGGTAGACAACATTGAGCTTTGTTTCTCCTCTTGATGATAGATGCTTTTCTTTGTTCTTCATTTCTTTGCTGTAGATGGGCAGCCAGATATATCAAGGCCTTTTGGATCTCAGCCTTGGCATAGTTGTCACAAGCTCATATATGTCAGACCAAATCCTAAAACTGGGGTTCCTATAGGTCATTGGCCTGTTCCAGAATCTTTCTGGCCTGATCAGAATTCTCCAACACTAGTAAGTACCAGAAAGACTCTGACTGTAATAGTAATAATAATAGTAACCAGTTGGTTTTGGTATTAGTTCTGAATACCCTTGGCAGTTAAAGTTGTAACTCATTTAGGATATTAGACAGATGAGCTAAGTGTTAAGAACAGCTATTACTTAAGAATAGAAACGAAACATCTTTTCCTTCAAAATGTAATACCATCCTTAACACTTTTTTTATTGGCATCTGGTTCTACAGAACCACAAATGTAGCAAAATTTTCTCTTTTGACTCTTAATGTGACATGAGGAGCTGTCTCTGGTAAACAATTTAGAATTTTAATGAAGATTTGAAAATAATTCTAGTAGTTTGTCTATTTAGTTATCCTTCTATTTTTATAATTATGGTCTTATGCAGTATTTGTCCCTATGAGACTGAATTTGTTCACTCAGCATAATTCCGTCTAGACACTCCCATGTTTTATAGTATTTTATGAAATCGTTGCTCCTTAACACTGTGTGGTGTTCCATTGTGTGAGTGTGTGTACTTTTGATGTCCATACTACCTTTAAGGGATTATTGTATAAACAAGCTAAAAGGGTCTGTGATGGTGTAGTGGTTGTAGTGCCAATCTGCTGACTGAAAGGTAGACATCTCCCGGCCGTTCAGTGGGAGGAATTTGAGACAGTCTCTGTCCTTGATGGTCTCTATGAGTTGGTATCCTCTCGATGTCTACGGGTTTGGGTTTTATGTCCAAATCTGTAATAGTCTGCAGGGAGTTGTTTTGCTAACCCAAAGGTGGCACTTATCTGGCGGTTAAAAACACCAGCAGTTCCAGGAGAGAGAGATGGACACTTTACGGCCTCTGGAAACTCACTGGAGGATCAGTTATGAGTCAGTTCCAATTCTATGGCAGTGAGTTTGAAGGTTTTTCCCTCTTACATATTAAACAACATTTTAGACTAAGATCTCTGACTGTTTTGGAAGCCACTAGTATATACAAGTCTTTAACTTATTTCAAATGAAGATTTATGAAGATATCTTATTTCTTGTATATAAACATTTAAGACGACTTATTTACTTCCAAAATTTTACATTTAACTTGTTCAATAAATTTTAAGACCTAAGAAGATTTATATTCTTTATAGGCTTTGAAATTTTGTTAATATTAAATAATTTAAGCATTTTAAGTATTTTCTTTCCTTTTATGGTAAAGGCCAAACCCTCACCAACTAAATTGAGGTACTGAGTATATTTTCATAGTGAGGAAAATTTAACAGTAAGTTTGTTCCTGATGTTTTGTGTAGATATTAATAATAAGACTTCTTCCAGCCACCTCGCACATCTCATCCGGTAGTGAAGTTTTCCTGTACAGACTGTGAACCAATGGTTATTGACAAATTGCCTTTTGATAAGTATGAGCTGGAACCTTCACCACTGACTCAATTTATCCTGGAAAGGAAATCTCCTCAAACTTGTTGGCAGGTGAGCAGAACAATTGTAATGATTTAGAAATTTACATTAGAATTTTCTTTAAAAGTTAAATTTAATGTTTAGTTTGTTACTAAATATGAGTGTTCAAAAACTCCTTTAAACAGGTGTACGTGAGCAATAGTGCAAAATACAGTGAGCTTGGCCATCCTTTTGGTTACTTGAAAGCCAGTACGGCACTGAACTGTGTCAACTTATTTGTGATGCCTTACAATTACCCAGTCCTCCTTCCCCTGTTAGGTGAGTAATTCCTTACAATCATCCAGTCCTCCTTCCCCTGGGAGGTAAGTAATTCCCCACTTGGTTTCTTCCCAAAAACAGGTGTTGGGAAACATTTGTAATTTTCCTAATCTGTTGGAAAGGAATGAAAATATATTACAATTTGAAAAATGTAAAATCTTTCTAAAGACATTTTTGTGGAATCTATGTTACGTTTCTTGGCAAATTGGAAATAAGTGTTAAAAATACCTGTTAGTCTGTAAACTGATAAAAATGACTATATTCTTAAATTTTATCTATTTTCCTATATGCTTCATATTTAGCATTGGCAATGTATGCTTTGTGTTTAAACAAGATACATTTTTTGCATTCATAAGATACGTGTTGGCTTTTCAAAGAATTTATACTTAATTTCATTTGGACAAAGTGAATCTGCCTCAAAAAAAAAATTTCTAAGTTTCATCTGCCTGTAATTTTGTGAGGATGTTTTTGTATAATAAGACTCTTTCTTCCTCCAACAATCACCTCAGATTTGAAAATTTTAATCAGAAATTAGTATATATTCTACAGAAAATGTTATGGATACTTTCTGTTTTGTATCCAGGTCTAGACAGGATATGGATCTTTTTTCTTGTATATTAAGCCATAATTAGCACCTTCTCATTTTTAAATTTGTATTAGCGAAAACCCAAATCCCGATACTACTTTCTTACAGTAACAAAGCATAGACTTATAAAAT